CATGAAATATCTAGAATAGGCAAATGCATAGAGACAAAAGTTTATTCGTGATTACTGGGGTAGGAGAGAAGAGGGAATGAGAGTTATTGCTGAAGGAGTACTGAGTTTCTGTTTGTGGTGATGGAAAGCTTTAGGAAAAGGATAGTGGTAATGGTAGCACATGGTGAATGTAATTAATGCCCCTGAATTGTAAACTTAAAAATGGCAAATGCTTTTTGTGTATATATATATCCACAATAAAATTAAAAAAAAAAAAGACAAACAGTAACAAATGTCAATAAGGATGTGGAGAAATTGGAACCCTAATACATTGCTGGTGAGAATGGAACATAGTGCAGCTGTTTTGGAAAACAATCTGAAAATTCCTCAAAAAAATTACACTTAGAATTACCATGTGATCCAGTGATTGTACTCTTGAGTTGAACCCAAGAGAAATAAAAACATATGTCCATCCAAAAGGGATAAATAAGATGTGCTATTCCCATGCAGTGGAGCCCCGGGTGGCACGGTAGTTAAGAGCGCGGTTGCTAACCAAGAGGTCGGGAGTTCAAATCCTTAGAAACTCTACGGGGCAGTTCTACTCTGTCCTACAGGGTCACTATGAGTTGGAATCGACTCGACGGCAATGGGTTTGGTTTTCTGTGCTGCAACACGAATGAACCTTGAAAACATTATGCTGTGTGAAAGAAGCTGGACACAAAGGACCACATAATGTATGATTCTATTTATATAAAATGTCCAGAATGGGCAAATCATAGCGATAGAAAGGTTTTTGGTTGCCAGGGCCTTGGGGGAGAGGGGAGTGGGAACTGACTATAAATGGACATGGGGTTTCTTTTTGGAGTATTGAATATATTCTGGCATTAGATAGTGGTGATGCTTGCGTAACTCTGTGAATATACGAAAAAACACTGAATTGTACACTTTAAATGAGTGAATTACACGGTATGTGAATTATATCTCAATGAAGTCTTTTTTTTTAAAGCACTATCTAACGTGAGTAGGATGGTCGCTAATTAGAAATATGAGAGGGAGGGGCTGACTAGAAAGATTACTTCCCTGATTGTTCTGGATTTCTCCTGCTGAAGTCCTGAGCAATTGAAGATTGCTAATGGATGTAGAAATGTTGGTATAATTCCAAACAGCTTTAATTCCCATTAGTTCTATACTTGAAAGATAGTTGACTGCACAGCACAGCCAGTAGCAGTCCTAATCTACCCAATTTATTGTACTTATAGTGCTACCCCAGGGTCCCAGCTATGGTTAATTTTATTTGTCAACTTGGCTGGGCTATGGTGCCCAGTTATGTGGTCAAATACTACTCTAGTTGTTGTTATAGTTACATGTGATTAAATCAGCTGGCCTTAAGTAAAGCAGATTACCCTCCATAATGTGAGTGGGACTTATCCAAGCAGTTGAAGAACTTAAGAGCAAAAAGAGAGTTTCTGTAGGGTGTGTTCTGCCTCCAGACTATAAATAGACATTTTGCCAGAACTCCCTCACTCTGCATTCTTTCTGTCACCTGACCTATGGATTTTAGGACACAAGCCTGCAGAAGTCTCCAGCCTGTTGCCTGACCTACAGATTTTGGACATGCCAGTCCCCCACAATTGCATGAGCCAACTCCTTAAAATCTCTCTCTCTCTCTCTCTCACCTGACTGATTCTGTTTTTCTAGAGAATCATAGCTACAACAGCCCCTAACCCTCTGAACTATATGCCTCTCAATACACCAAAAGTTATCTAACCTGTCCCAACTTTATACTCTCAAATAAATTACTGCCAAATCTCCTCTACCCTGGGTAGGAAAACAATATTAATAAAAAATGGACTGTATGCCAGGCACTGGTTAAGCATTGTCCATCCACTGACTCATTGAATCCTCACAACAGTGCTATGAAATCGGTACTGTTATGGATTGAACTGTGTCCCCCAACAAAGATATGTTGACGTTCTAATCCCTGTAACTTTGAATGTGACCCTATTTGGAATTAGGGTTTTTTTCCCTTGTATGCTAATAAGGCCATACCAGAGTAGGGTGGATCGTAAACCTAATCAGTTCTGAGTGATGACTAATAAAAAGGAAAAGCAGACATTGAAAGACACACACAGGGGGAAGACAGCATGTGAAGATCCATCTACAAGCCAAGGAACGCCAAGAAACGCCCAGGGCTGCTGGAAGTTGAAAGAGACGAGGAACGATCTTCTAGAGCAGACATAGCATAGCCCCGCTGACGCATTGAATTAGAACTCTTAGCCTGCAAAACTGTGAGACAATAAATGTCTGTTCTTTAAAGTGACACACTTGTGTTTTTGTTAAGACAGCAGTAACTAAGACAGGTACTGATACTACTGTTATTTCTGTTTTACAGATTGGAAGACTGAGACATGGAAGGGTTAGGTTACTTGCCCAAGGTCACAGAGCCAGCCTCTCACCCTTACGCTAGTATACAAAATTATTTGCAAAAATTCAGTGCAAAACTCTGAGCTTTCCTTCCACCTCAGCTCAGCTGTCCCTTTGCAGTGCCTCCCAACACTAACCTATATGCCAGTGCTATTTCCCCACTCCCATAGCAACCCTTCATAGCTACAGGAGAGGTTACATCCATTGGGGTTTAGGGGACATGTAATGAGGGAAGGCTTCATGGAGGAGGCTGCACCTGACCTGGAACCTGAAGGACAGGTAGAAATGGAGGAGACAAACATTTCAAAATAAGCACAACATGAGCAAACGCATGAATAGCCGAAAGTCTAAGAGCAAAGACGCTGGATTCAGATAGTTGTGGGTTGAAATCCCAGCTTCACTAGCTGTGTCATCTCGGCCAAATTACTTAACCACTTTGAACTTTATATTTGACCAAATTACTTAACTTCCTTGAAGTTTATGTTCTTAAAAATCTGAATAATAATGCCTCCATCTCCAGGGGTTGTGAGGATAGAATGAAATCATGTAAAATGCTGGGCACATTGTAAGTTCTCAATAAAGAAAAGCAACTACCAATAAAGCAATAAACCTGAGTCATATCTGGCACACAGTAGTAGTTAATTTTGCAAGTGTTGGTGAGCAATGAGATTGAAGTCTGGAAAGGTAAACTGGGACCAGACTCAGGTAAGTATTTAAAGATTAAGAGAATTTTGGAGAGAAGAGAATAGGGTGAACAAAGTGGAAGTTTGTGTACAGAGAAGAGACAGAAAGAGAATAGAGAGAGAGATAAAGAGAGAGAGAATGTGATTGATTCATTCCAATCAGAAAAATGATTTGGGAGATTAATGGAATAGGGAAGAGTTAATATAGATCTGGACAAAAGTGAGGGCAGTGGGAATGAAAGGAAGAAGTTGCATTAGAGAATAGGCAGCACTGGCCAAGTTACTTTGAAATCCTTTGTAATTCATTAATGTTTTCTTTATTGTCTGGCACTCCCTTTGAGCTTCATGAGGATGCAGACCATATCTATTCTGTGCACCACTCCATATCCAGAACCTTGCACAATACCAGGCACACAGTAAGTGCTCAATAAATATTTGTTCAATGAATTCATGAATTTTGATAATGGGGTGGAGGGTTAAAAAAAATTCCAAGAGTTCAAGCACAGATGATTGAGAGAATACAAAAGTAGGTTGGACATGCAGAGGAAATAATGAGTGTAAATTTTGTATTCTGTGAATCTGAGAATCCTGTAGTGCATTCTGGTGTTCACGGTTAGCAAAATTCCAAAAGTGGAAATGGAGCTCAGAGAACCGGTTGGGGCTGGAAGTATGCTGTTGTGATTCATTAGCATATTAGTATCTATTGTGATCACGTGGGAGGAGGGAGTTTATTAAATTAGAGCCCACCCCGGAAGTGACATCAGTAAGAGGCGCGCAGAGGAGGGGGGAGAGGGCACCCTGAGAAGCAGCTGTGGTTAGAGCAGGGCTAAAGTGAGGCGAGCCAGGGGAAAAATAAGATTAAAAGTATGAGGAAATTCAGAAGAGATTGGTCTTATGGAGATAAAGAAAGAAACCCATCGAGTGATCGTTATTATGAAGAGCCACAAACCAGCCAGTCATGGTAAGAGATATGTAATTGACAAACCAACAGTCGTTGGCGGCTTTGTGACGAGCGGTTTTAACGAGTTGTGGGAGCCAGAATCCAGGGGTAGCTGAATTGCTTGCTCTTGAGTCCCTACTAGTTTGGGACCTTAGACAAGTTACGTACCAGTAATCACTCTGTGCCTTGGTTTCTTAGCTATAAAATGGAGATGATATAATAGCAATTACCTCATGATTATTGTAAGGGATAAGTAAGTGAATATAGGTTAAAATGCTTAGAAAAATACCTTTTGTGTGTTCGCCACTTAATCAAATATTAGCTATTATTAGGGTAGGTTTTGGAATAACTAGTGGTGAAAAGGTTGTGAGTAGTACTGTACATTAATTTTCCTTTGGAGTCTTCAAGACAATTAAAAATACATCCCAGAATGGAGGAACTTGAGGAGCCTTTTGCATTGACTGTGGCTAGCACGAAATCAAATAATAATTTTAAGAATTCCACTGAGGCTTTGGGGATTAATTCAGCGAGGATTGATTTTTCGAGAATGTTCCAGAACGCTCAACTGTTCTCGGCTGGTCATGCGCGTTATGGTTGCAAGCTTTTCCCCAAGCTCCACCCCTTTTTCCTATAGGCTACAGATCCAATGGTCTCTCATCGTCTTCCTCACTGATCTTCAGCGGGACTTGGTCCCGCCTTCTCGAGCAAATTAGTTCCCTCATTGGACCCTTTCGATGGTGGTTTTTATCTTTTGTCCCAGGGCTCGCGATTGGGAAATTGGATACTTTTAGAGTACCCAGTTTACAAAGGCAAAGTTATTTTTCTTTCTTTTAAACTAAGTACTGTAAATAAATATCAAACAAATGAATAAATAAGACGGATGGGAGGTGAATGTCGGAACTGAAGAGAGGTAGGCTTAAGGTTGGACCGTCGGGTGCTTTTTAAAACGGACCGAGCTACTTCCGGAAGAGAATGGGCGGGCAGAAAATTCTACGCGTTTGTCGGGTTTTGCGCTCTTCCTAAATATGTGATCATCCCGAAGCCGAGGGTCCTGGACATGTGAGGACGCAGCGAGGCCACCACTGCCGACCCACGCTGCTTTGGGCTCCCGGATGACCATGTCTATGGTGAGTGCGCGTGCTGTGGCAGGGTGGCTGGGCGCCAAGTCTTGGGCGGCTGAGGGGAGGGGCACTGGGTCGGCGGGCTGCTGATCACGTGGGCAAGTGGCGAATCGGGGCCTGGCCCGCCAGACTCCGGGGCGGGGCCCGCTCTCTGCAGTCTCCCTTCCTTCCCCGGACCGTGTAGTTGCTTTCTGGTCCTGAAGAGGACCCTTCGGAGGCGACTAGCCAGAGACGAGGGTGTTGGAATCTGTTCATGGTTTGGCATCTCCTTCTCTCGATTATCTCCCTCTCTAAAAATCACTTTAACTCACCTGAGAAAGAAATGAAACTGGTGATTCATTGCTCTTAATTCTAATAATAGGTCGGGCATGGTAAATGGCTGGGGAGGAAGGCACTTAAACCTTTTGCGTAAGAAACCTGCAATCAGCATTGCTTTTTCTTTGGTTTTACAATTCTTTACAAATGCTCCTGAATATATATATATATGTAATGTGAGAAGGTTTTCTAAGTAGGGTTACCTATTTTTCTTTGAACTTCACCCCCCCCCCCATTCAGTAGCTTTTGAGTTTGGTCGCAGTTTCTCGCTTTAAAAGAGAACGCAGTACTCTCTTAGCTTACTCACTGGCAAATTTACCTTTAAGGTTCAAGCAGCATCATTTTTATTAAGGTGAATATTTTGTAAAATATTGGAAGCTTGAAGTACTTACTTGTCAGGCAAAGATTATAAATTTATATGTGACGATGAAAAAAATCAAATTCACTAATGAGAGAAAATTATGGCCTATTGACATGTACCTAAAAATAGTGAAATATTTAAAAATGGGTAGTTTTTGAGACCTGATCGTTAAAATGCCCAAATTTATGTGAAATAACGTGGATTATGTGTACAGCTTCAAAGTGGCTGAAATAAATTAGCCTCTGTTGGTGGTTTTGTGTTTTTAGGGGGCTGGAGGAATGGTAATCTACACTTCTGAAATTTTTCTTGTAGGATTTTAAAACTTATGTAGATCAGGCATGTAGAGCCGCTGAGGAATTTGTCAATATTTACTATGAGACAATGGACAAAAGAAGGCGGGTGAGTTTATAGACTCTTCTAGTCTTTATTAAATACCAGTTCTTTTGTTGGCCACCTGTTCATCTGACTTGCAAAGGTGGTGACTGTGGACTTGCTTTCTAAAACCGCATTGCTTAGGGAAGGATTGGTATGGTATTAATGGGAGTGTGGGCTCTGGAATCATATCCCAGCTTTGCCCTTACCTAGCTCTTTGGCCTTGAGCAAGCTACTAACCTCTCTTAACCTCATTTTCTTTTTAGGGTGGTAAGTAGGAATTAATTTAAATACTGTACTTAACACGGAGTCCAGCATATATTTACCTAATTGTGTAACCTTTTATTCCCATAATTTAACTGATACAACAGTTAAAATAGTATTAGTGCTAGTGATGGGGTCTGCTTTACAGGGAATGTTTCCTGATTTGTCCCTTTTATTTCGTATATTAATAGATAAACTTGAATCAAGGTCCACAGCTATAGCTGGCTCTCACTAACAGGATCCACATGGCTTGGATCCTTTTTGTCTTCAACAGACCAAGTTCTCACTTCATCAGCTCTTTTTGTTGTTGTTGTGATTTATCCGTGAGCTGCACCTTCTAAGTAATTATTTCAGTATGAGCTCAAGTGAGTCTTGCCTAGGTTTCTTAACAGCGTATAACTATTTTAGAGAATCTGTTCATTCCTGCGGGTAAGGAAGTTAATGCCCTATCTCTAGAAACCTATTTTTTTTTTAAAGCAGAAGGTAAAAGAAGTTCCTGGTACTGATGTGCAGTGACATGGATGTGACAGTGAACGTTCATTGTGCCTTGTCTTGACTATTTATTGTGCCTTGCTGCTTTCAAAAAAAAAAAAAAAAGACAACATAGTTCATTACTAGAGTCAAGATATGTGTCAGCCTATGGATCTTAAGTTAAATTTTAGGATTAAGCAAGTAGTGTGCTCTCTTGCCCCAAAGAGTTAACTGTTGAATTTTGCCTTAACTGAGCCTTAACTTATTTGATTTATCAAAGGCTCTGAGTAAACAAATATTCATGATTCTTTTGAACTCTGTATATGTTTGAAGTATGCTGATAGAAGTAGTAAAAAGGAACTGATTCTTCCTCATGCATACAAACATTAAAATTACTCAGGTTTTCACTTGTATTGTCCTAGGATTGAAGTGTAGTGGTAGGGCTTGGTTGACAACTTTGTTAATTCACAGAATTTCTTTTATAGATAAAGGGGAAAGACTAAAAATGGTTTGAGGCTGTATGTGCTTGAAACTTGTGACCACTTAATTTATTTTAATAGAGAAAGCAAATCATTAAAACTCTTTCCCAGTTTGCATGGAAGGTTTTCTCATTATGGCTAGAATGAAATATGAAAAAAAAAAAGTACTCAATTGTCTTTAGCTCATTAAGAGTAGGGTAATAGCTGTTTAAGGCCAAGGTTATAAGGCAGAAACCTTGTTCACATCGGTTTCCGATGGAGCAGGGGGGCATGGGAAGTGAAGAATGGAGGTGGTGGTTGTTGTTAGATTAGGGCTTTGAACTGGTGTGAACCAGTTCAGTCATGGCTGATGAAGTAAAATCAGAACAGACCAGAATTTTAAAAATTTGGGTGAAACAGAACGGGAAAAATTACGGGTCGAAGCCCTGAGTGGGAGACTTGGAAGAGGCGTAATGAACCCTTTCAGGAGCCTGATGTAGGAGATTAGATTATTGCCAGGACTGTGGAGAGCAGCACACATTAAAAGTAGCGTGGTCAGCTACCATCTTTGAGCGGGGCACCAATGTTTCCGACTGTGCGGGTCAAGACATTTGGTTGCTATACAATGTGCACACTGTCCTTGTTTTCTACAAGGGAGAATAAATTTCTAGCAGTGCTTCAACCTGTAATTTTCCCCATTCTGCTTATTGTTATGCTTCACCTACATTAAAAAAATTCAAGTCCATTCAGGTTTTGCTTCATCGGCCGTGGCTGAACTGGGCAGAACCGGTTTGAAGCCCTGTGTTAGGTGACATTGAATCAATTTTTGATTCATAGTGAATCCATGTGACAGAATAGAACTGCCCCATTGGGTTTTCTAGGCTATAGTTTTTACAGGAACAGATTGCCAGTTCTTTCTCCCATGGAGCCACTGGGTGGGTTCAAACCACTAACCTATCAGTTAGCAGCCTAGCACTTAACCATTGAGCCACCAGGGCTAACTATGAAAATGTTTGTATACCATCTGTAACCTTTTAATCTGTTTCTATAAAATGCTTATGCAGAAACAAAAATCTTTCCTTTTTTTTTTTTTCTTTCTAGGCACTGACCAGGCTGTATCTGGACAAGGCCACTTTAATATGGAATGGAAATGTTGTCACTGGGCTGGATGCCCTAGCCAATTTTTTTGAAATGTTGCCTTCTAGTGAGTTCCAGGTTAATATGTTAGATTGCCAACCAGTTCATGGTAAGATCAGGGTCTTCCAAGGTACTTTTTTTCTCCTCTTCTTTTATTGAGCACTGAGCTTTTAGACCAAAAGCAGTAAGCAACTTTTTGTGGTAGAAGTATTTACTTATTCATGAAAGTTAAATATTAAGAAAAATTCAGCTGTCTAAGGTTTTGGTGGATTGTGCAATTATGGCTTATTAACAATTAAATTGAGACTAACTGTGATTTTTGTTCATGGAGATGAGGGATTATCTGTTCTCCTTAAATAGATGGTTGCCTGCAGTGCCCTGAAATGTCTCCAGAGAAAAATTATGATTAATGTCTGATTAATCTGATTAATGTCTTTTAGTATCTTCCAAAAACCCATTGCCATTGAGTCCATTCTGACTCAGCAACCCTATAGGACAGAGTAGAACTGCCCCATAGGATTTCCAAGGTTGTAAATCTTTACGGAAGCAGGCTGCCACATATTTCTCCCGTGGGGTAGCTGGTGAGTTCAAACCACCAACCTTTCGGTTAGCAGCCAATGTCCTTAACCACTGCGCCACCACGGCTCCTTTTAGTATATTACAACATACTAAAATTTTACAAAAGAAATTTATTGTTACATGAAAGGATGACCTTTGGCAAGACAGAATTTGATTAAAGGTACATTGATGCAGTTTATAAAATTAACCTCCAGGAAGGGTCCTGAGTGTCTTAAATAGTGATTTGGGGTGATTTTTTTTTCCATTATAGTTCTTGAAAAGAACAATAACTTCAGATTCTAAATGTGAATGAGCTCCAGTGGAAACTCAAGTATTAATATGGACAGCAAGCAAATGGTCCCACGCTAGATATAAGTTCTTTATTTTGAAAATTTGAGTATCCAAAATCTTTCTGGACTGAAAATAATTTTAACATCTTTGAAATGATTGTAATACTTAGTTTTCTGTCTTTGAGTCATTATAGATTATGCTCAAGGTAGAGAAAGTTTATGAAACTTTTTTTAGTGTTACATCTTAAGCAATGTAGTTTAAACCTGAAAATCTGCTTATTTGGGTAAAGAAACTGACCTTTCTTCTTTTTTGTGTGGGTGAAGAGCAAGCTACCCCATCCCAGACCACCGTTCTTGTTGTGACCAGTGGAATTGTGAAGTTTGATGGAAACAAACAGCACTACTTCAACCAGAACTTCCTGCTGTCTGCTCATTCGACTCTTAACAACACCGTGTGGAAGATTGCAAGTGATTGTTTCCGTTTTCAGGATTGGGCTAGTAGTTAAAGGGGGTAAAGGTCCATTCTTCTTTAGTGCTTTAGTTCCGGCAACAGCAATTTATGTGAATTAATTCATTTCATTGTAGAAGCACTGTAAACTAGTATGTGTTAAAACTAGATTTCTTTAATATTTTTTTTGATTTCTAGCAGCTGCCAGTTTGGATCACTGCCCTTAAGAGCTTTAATGCTAGTTTTTTACATGCCTTATATACATTCCACTAATGACATTCTGATAGTGATGTTAAACACATGATCTCTACTAACATTCACTGTGAATTCAGCCCGTCGCAAAAATGAAATCCTTTTATAATACTATCCGTGGGTTATCAGCACAACATAACTCTCTGGGAGAAAGTGGGGTTTTTCTGGTTATTAGGTTAGTTTTGTAGTAAAACATACACTTATTTTCAGTAAACACTGGTAGTGCAGTTTTAATATATGGCTTTTTCATATCAGCTCAGTGAAAACATTACTAATTTAAATTTGCATAACTACTCAGACATACTGGAATTGCATGTAGAGATGTTCGGTAGTCTCTTTAACATGTTAAGTAACGTGTTTTATGTTGGCATGTTTTTTTGTGAAGTGAATTAGTAGACTAGAGAGATACATAATGTCTCAGTTGATACCTGAGTACTAGGTACAATTTGGTGGCTTAAAAGCAAAACTTCTTAAAAAGATTTTTCTTGGCAACTCCAGGTCTATAACTTTGGGTTATGTATGATAGTAGGACTGATAGCTTTAACGTGAGAATGGAGAATGAGAAATGTCGAGGTCTAAGGTTAGAGGCAAAAGTAAGGAGGGGTGGCCAAATGCTAAATTTTTGGTGCTTGTTTTCTACCCTTGAAAATGTTTTAAGTCTTATTTTTAGGATTTTAAATCACTAAGGTCATCGGTATCCTTGCCAAATGGTCACAAGTATCACATTTGTTCTAAATACGATTTTTCAAAGTTTTTCAACTTACCTCATACTTATCACCAATATAGGTCTCAATTTATTCAAGAATTTTTGGGGGTAAAATGTCAGCAATAAGCCTAACCTTGGCAGCTGGAGTCTGACAGGAAAGTCGGAAGCAAAGCTATTGCCATTAGTAACAGGACATGTCTCTTAACATCTATGTCTTCCATGTAAACTTTAGGCCAAAACTCTACAATATATTAACGCCCCACGAGATAAGTGATTTTACCGCAGCATTTTACACTGTCAACTGTGTTATTTTTTAATTATTTGAAATTAAAAATTATTTTTTATGATTTATTCTTCCATATGGCATTGAACAATAAGATCTGTTTTAAAACATTCTGTTTCTGTTATGTGGCTAACTTTGACTTTTTAAAGAGAAAATGAAGAACAGCAGATCTTTATAAACCCATAAACTTCAAAACAACAAATTGATTAATTTGATTCTCAACTTCTAAAGAGAAAGAAACCTAGCTTTGGTTTTTGGTTAAACTTTAAATGTCTTTTCCATTTTTTTAAATTAATTTTTAAAATGTTTTTAAGCTGTGTGTGCCAGCGTCGTTTCTACATTGAAGCTCAAAATTAATGTTTCTTCTCAGTTAATTTTAAAACCAGTAATTTGTTTCCCCTTGTCCCAGACTGCACACTACATTTCTGCCATTTTAACAAAATAAGGGGCTGGAACTGAAATTTCAAAATTATCCATGTCTTCTTGTAGTACTGATCAAAACTTAACACATTATATTCTGCTCAAAATGAGCTGCTTATTTTAAATTGGCTTTTTAAAACCACAGTTTTAGCAACAATTTGAATGTCAAACACTAACCCCTCCCCTTAGGGAGAATAGTTTCAAATGGAAGCTGCATATAACTAGCAATAACTGGACTGCTAGAACAGTTGTGTACTAGTCACTAGTTTTACATTTTTAAGACTTGCATATGAATGCCTTTTCCAAGTTCTGTATAACTTTAGTTGGCTAGAACTACTCTTATGTGGACTATACTGTATTTTTAACATGCTCATATTTTTGTAACTTGAAAAAATAAAATAAAATATGCCTTGAGATGAGTTTTATCAAATTTGTTTTAAGATCTTTTGAATTTTTGAAAGCCCCAGAGCAGGTACTTGTTTTTTTACAATGTAAGGTTTTTCAAATTTAACAAAATGTTAGAATGTTGAAAACAGTGGCTGACAACTTGAACTTTTTCTTTGCTGTCCTGTCTCTAGCACACCCTATTCTTTCTCTTTTCCTACCAAGTATTCATATTCCTCAGATCACCTCTAAGGTCTAAGTCAGATTTTTGGTGAGAAGTTGCAAATTTGAACCTTGAGGAACTAGCCAAAATGCTGTTAAGTAGACAATCAAAATACAGTTTTTTTCCAAGAAGAATGGTCTCATTATCTTTAATTCTACATTAAAAATATGTCAACAGACACTTTTGGAGGGGAGTGAGAAAAGGCAATAACCCTTGAAATCAAATACCATATTTCATCTCTTGAAAGATGCATGTATTTTTCATATTTTAACACTCCTGAAATACTGGTATGATCTTAAATCAATGGCATGTCATACTTCAATTGGCTTTTTTTCCCCCTTTTGCATTGGTACATAAAATAATGGTGAATCTTACAATCGATGGCATCTTAGATTGATGAAATATAGTAATAAGTTTTGCCAAGACAAAAATGGTTAGGAATCTACTTAGGTCTAAATTTCGAATCATTAGTGTTAGTGAAATACTGTAAGTCGAAGATGCTAGAAACTCATGACTCAAACTCTGTCACCATGTTATTTGTATTTCATGACTAGCCCATATGGTTGGATCTTATTTAAGCATGCATATGCCTTGGTAAGTTCGAGTCATCATAATAATAGTTTGCAAGTTTGGGGAAATTACCTATTAATGTATAATGTATCTAAAAAAGTAGTCCCAATGAAAGGTAAGTGGCGTGTTTGGGACAGGAGCAAGAAGTCAAAAGTGAAACAGGTACTGTGAGTTGTTTTATACTGGAATTTTGCAGAATCGATCATTGCCTGAAGTTAGTGAGGCAGGAAATTTGGTAGAAGGGAACTTAATTTGCTAATTTTATTGTAATACAATATAGGATAGAAAGAATAAGCATGGATGTGCTTTAACATAACCACATTATTTAGGGAGAAATGGTAGGGCATTTGGCTTTCTGATTTGACAGTTGGCTCTGTACAATAAAATATTGCATCAAAACACTTGATACCAAACTCTGCTGTATTCTAGTAATTTCTGTTAATATTTGCCCCTTTGCCAAATGCAGCTTTCTGTACAGAAGAGTACTTGGTGACTATCAGTGGGCTATATAGGTCAGTCTTCGTTCCTAGAGAAGGACTAAAAGGAGGGAAAGGTATTGTTTGAATAAGATGTGTCAGATGGAGGGTCTTTGGATGCATCATACATCTAGGGTTGAGGTACAGTTGATTTCATTATTTGTGGATTCCATATTTGCAAATTCACCTACTTGCCAAATTTATTTGTAACCCAGAATCAATAGAGTGCTTTTGCGGTCACTGGCCGCTATAGGCAGAGCAGTGAGAAATTTGAGTTGCCCAACAAGTACCTTCCCAGCTGAGGTCAAATGATGCAGTGCTCTGCTTTCTTGTATCAGCTCTCTGCTGTAAACAAGTGTCCTTTTCACAGTCTATTTAGTGCCATGTTTTTCACATTTTTTGTGCATTTTGTTAGTGATTTTGTTGTTTTAAAATGGCCCCCAAGCATGGTACTGAAGTGCTACCTAGTGTTCCTAAGTGCAAAAAAGGTGTAATGTGCCTTATGGAGAAAATACATGTGTTAGATAAGTTTTGTTCAGGCATGGGTTATAGTACTCTTGGCCCAATGTCTATGAATCAACCGTGTTGGTACATCCAGAAAAAGGAAAATCCGCCAGTCTGTACGTGAAAGTGCTAAAGTAACATCTGTAGTGCATGATGAAACTGGAAAATATGGAAAAGGAGCTAAATTTGTGGATTCATGAGATGACCAGTGAAAAAAGCATAGTAGACAGCATTGGGGGGCTGAAAGCCAAAGGAATTTATGGTCATGTTACCCAGAGTCAGGAAAATGTTAAAATTCTTCTTAGCTGATGTTTTATTATAAAGAAATACTGCATATAATTAATCATTTGTAAGAAGTAAGGGGTCTTTAAACAAACACACAAATCAAGGTTATATATTGAACAGTTGATGAAAATGTTGTAACCAGAGGATCACAGGACTCTAGCCCTGTATTTCCCCTAGGGCAGTGACTCAGTATTTGCTAATTCAGTGTTCGTGATGACTTTATAGGACATTACTGTAAATAACAAGAATTGACTATATGCATTCTCTAGATCAGTGACAAACTTTTTACCATGACCGACAGTAAGAAGTATATTTGACATCACAACCTAGTATGCAGATGCATAAATATAATTGAAAGCAATTAAAAAACTCTGCACATCCAAAATAAAACACATCTTACTTCCTGCAGTGCATTTCTGGTATCTTCTATTTCATTCTATTTATTTTCCTTTTAACGCTGGTCATAACCTGCTGAATTGATTTTTATGAATTCCTAATGAGTTTTACCAGCAGTTTGAAAAACACAAAAATAGAGCAAGCATAATATTTTCACTATCACTTTCTAGTGGAGGTGTGGGGTTGGCTTCCAAAAAGTGGTGCTGTGCGTCAGTGATGTCAGCCTGACTTCGAATTGATCAAAAATCTTTTTCCTCTCAGGCTTGTCATATTTGCTCAGGGCTGTGAACGGCAGCACTGTTTTCCTCCCATTCCTTGGCTTGCACCTGAAGTTCAGAGCTAAGAAAGCAAACATTTAGATTAGTCTTTAGGAAGAATCTGGGAATAGAATGAGTGGCAATGAAAGGAGTTGAAACATGGAAGAGGCTGCCCGATTTCAGATATCCAGAGAAATGAGAAGGCATTCCAGCAGAATTCCTTTGAACATGGTTTGATACTACAGAAAGTGTATTTCTGTAGATTTTAAGCCAATTTCATGTGTTTTTTGCCTTTTCCTCCCTCCCTTGTACACTTCAAATATCTGCATATAACCCCTCCTAATTTGACAAAGGCTCTGGTGGTCTCTAAGGTGTAAATCCTGGTCCCAGACCCAAAGGAGATCTGTATTCTAAGGCCATTCTGATGTTGATCAGCTTTGTGTCCTTAGGTGATTCACTTGCTCTCATTGGGCCTCTGTCTTCAGCTGTTGACTGTAGATACTGTTTGCCCTGTCTGTCTCCCCAGGTGCTTGTGAGGGTCAAATAAGACAACAAATGCAAAAATGTTTTGAAAGGTGCAGAGTTCTGTACAAATACAATGGTTCTGTTTTTGGAAATGTTTCATAGAACAATAGGCTTGATGCTTGGTTTCGCACTTACACCTTAGGTTAAGAACTGCAGTTAAAAAGCATATACACTTAGGGTCTGGAGACTATGGTTTCAGGTGACATCTAGGTCAATTGGCATAACAAAGTTTATTAAGAAAATATTCTGCATCCTATTTTGGTGAGTGGCATCTGGCGTCTTAAAAGCTCGTGAGCAGCCATCTAAGATGAATCAATTGGTCCCAACCCACCTGGAGCAAAGAAGAATGAAGAACACCAAAGACACAAGGAAAGTATTGGCCCAAGAGACAGAAAGGGCCACATAAACCAGAGAATCCCTCGGCCTGAGACCAGAAGAACCAGATGGTGCCCGGCTACCACCAATGACTAACCTGACAGAGAACACAACAGAGTCCCTGATGGAGCAGGAGAAAAGGGGGATGCAGAACTCAAATTGTAGTAAAAAGACCAGACTTAGTGGTTTGACTGAGACTGGAGGGACTCTGGAAGACATGGCCCCTGGACTCTCTGTTAGCCCAAAAATAAAACCATTCCCGAGGCCAGCTCTTCAGACAGAGTAGACTGGACTATAAGACAGAAAATGATACTCGTGAAGAGTGTGCTTAGCTCAAGTAGATACATGAGACTAAATGGGCAGCTGCTGTCCAGAGGTGAGATGAGAAGGCAAAAAGGGACAGGAGCTGGCTGAACGGACACGGGAAATTCGGGGTTGAAAGGAGGAGTGTGCTGTCATTATAGGGAGAGCAACTAGGGCCACATAACAATGTGTGTATAAATTTTTGTATGCGAAACTAACTTGAACTGTAAACTTTCACTTAAAGCACACACACACACACAAAGCATATACACTCAAACATCTCTGGGAGGCCAGTGGCAAAACTAGGAACTAGGGGGCCTTCTGCCTCTGTTCCCCTTTCTCTCATCCTCCTGGGACCCTATATTGTCATGCTTTCCAAGACCCCCCACCATTGCAGGTTCTGGACATATTCATCTATTCCCCCTCCCCCAAATCTTTCCAGTCTCATCACACCCCATCCCAACTTCTTTGCCAAGGGCTTCGACCTATTCATTCTGGCTTGACCCCCTGCTGAGAATCTGTGTTTCCACCCCAGATACACTCAATCAGACTACATTTTAAAACGATCCCTGGGTGACTCTTACGTGTACCTCTATGGTTTGACAAGATCCCCAGGTGATTTTTATGTATACATCTACTGTTTGACAAGATCCCCAGGTGATTCTTACACGTCACCTGGGGATCCTCACCTGGGGATCTTTTACAACTGTAGATTGTGATTCAGTATTATCTGGGGTGGAAATACAAATTTTCAGCAGCGGGTCAAACTGGACCGAACCGGTTGGAAGCCTTTCTTTGCCCTAAGAGTCATTCCCTTAGAAAACCACTCTCTTGCTTTCAAGTGAAGTTTGTTAACTCATAAACTTATTACAGAGGTGATTGGCTTTTGTCTCTTGGGGTTGTTGCATTTTGGCTGGAAACAGAACAATATCAGAACTCAAAGGAATGGCTCACTAATCATAGCACTTCAGACGTATTTTGTGTGTGAGGGGTGGGAGGGGTTTGATTTGAGGATCAGAAGGACCTTTGGTGCCCCTAAAACTACACCTTGCAGAAGACAAATGTCTATATATCATTTATCATGGAATAGAAATTAGCTCAACATATAACCACCCAAATCTTATGCATTCTTTTGACTTCTGTTTACGGTGATAACTGGCTTCCATCCCACAGACACACTCTCACCTAATTGTTAGTGGGCCGAGAATGCCTCCCATCCCAGTTTCTGTCCCCGTGCTGCTTATTAGCCTGCAGAGCCCCTTGTGCAGCAGTCTAGGAAAATCATGAGTCTGAGCTCGCGGTCAGAGAAGACCTGGAGGAGAATGGTGGCCCTGTCACTAGTTGTGTGATCCTTTGTTGTTATTGGGTGCTGTTGAGTTGATTCCGACTCATAGCAACCCTATATGACAGAATAGAACTGCCCCGTAGAGTTTTCTAGGCTGTAGTCTTTACCAAAGTAGATCACCAGGTCTTTTTTCCTGCAGAGCCGCTGAGTGAGT